CCTCACCATGAGGCTGCTGTGGCTGCTGCACCTTCTTGACTGCATCTAGGGCCCCAGCAGTTGGTGCAGTCACCTCTCCTCCCGCAGTTGCCTTAGCCGCTGCCGCTGCCTTTGCCGTTGCTGGTGGTTTCCCATTCCAAGGGATGATGGGCAGCTGCCACAAGTCCTTAATGCAGCTGCTCTTATCCTCCAAATCCCACAGCAGCAACTTCCCAAGCTTTGCACGGCAGCTGGTTGGGCCGAACGTAACTTTGGCCTTGCTTTTCTGCAGCCGGCGCACAGAGAGGAGGTTAGCGGATAAACCTTCAACTAGCAGGACATTCCCAAGTCCCACAAGTCCCCCATTGGCTCCCATCACCTTGGCATTCCCAACACCAATCACAGGGAGCAAAGCACCTGAAGCGGCAGCCACAAACTTGATCTTCCCGGGGGGTTTCACCTCATCAAGCAAATCTGCCCGCGGAGTCATGTGACTCGTGCAACCTGAATCAATCACCCAGTGAGTGAGGGGGTGCATCACAACCTTCCCAACCGAACCCACATCATCCTCACTCCCTTTCACTTCCTCAACCATGAGGAACAACCCAGGGTCAGCTTTACCTTGTGCACCATCACCTTGTGCACCTGAACCTTGCACAGCGCCACCTCGTGCGCGTTCACCACTTGGCGGCTTCATGCCTGGAGGCGCCCATCCTTCAGGCCGGCTGAAACACTTGAACCACGGGTGTCCAGCCTTCTTGCAGTACCAGCACGCACCCTCCATTCGGGTGCTCCCCCTGCCACCAGAGCTCCCATGCCCTTCATTGTAGTCACCTCGGCCTCTTCCTCTGCCAAAGCCTCTCCCACGGCCTCGGCCTCTCCCTCCCCCTCTTCCTCTGCTGCCTCCTGCAGCTCCATATCCCTCAGCAGTTTTGTTGGCAGCACCACCTCCCGTGTGGCGCCTGTGGAAGTACTCCTGCAGGATCTGCTGCCGCAGCCACTCAGGCGTCCACTTGTCCTGCTGAACGTTGAGGGTGGGGATGAGGTTGTCCCACGAGTTGTCGAGCACCGAGATGATCTTGGTGCACTGCTGCCAACCGAAACCTTGCTGCCCGCCGCTGCCATCCTCGCATAGGTGTCCTTGATCTTGTCAAGCACCGGCTTCACATCGTCTCCCGGCTTCATGGAGAGGGCAGCCAGCTCCTTCTCCAGTACAAACACCATCGGCAGCGTGTTGGGCTGAACCACATCGCGCAGTAGTTTCCACGCCTTCGGCCCGGAGTCGTCCACCTCCACCAAATCCTTGATGTGCTGGAACATGTCGTTGTTGACCGATTGGACGACGAGGTCGTACAGCACCGCACTCCGCTCAATCCACCGTTCGCGGGCATCACCTTCCTCCGGCATCTTCTCTTCTCCCATCGCAAGTTTCAGCAGCTTGTAGCGCTTGAAAGCGCTCCGCATCCGCCCGCTCCATTCCTCATAGTTGGAGCCATCCAAAGCCTCGATCTTGGACGGTGGCGGTTCACTCTTCTTATCAGCTGCTTCTCCACTCATCTCCTCTGCTCCCAATCAGAGGTTTCAGCTCCCCCTTTGCTGTCCACACCGAAGTCCCACACAATTTCCACAAGTGTCGGCGCCAACGAAATTTCCTCAGAGTTTCCCCTTAGCGGAAGTCACTTCCAACCCTTAGAACACCACTTAGGTACGCCCACAGGCCATGGTGGGTATAAGAGGGTCTTCACACTTCAGTAGACTCCCCACAAAGTCCTTAATCTGCTCTGATACCACTTGTTAGAGATTAAGGATCGAGTCTACGAAGATTAGGTGCCCAAATAACTCAAAATCGTTGGCTTCAAATTCTGGACAGAAACCGCGACTTCACAAGAAACGTCGTCGGCTAAAATTGCACCGTTAGAATTGTCCCATATGTTGTAGCCTGTAACCAGGGCTATCTTTCCCAATTTGAATCGTATCAAATGGTGGAGTTAACCTCGAGTTATGATTTTCGGCGCACTAGGGGGTATGCTGCTACAGAAACTTTAACTCAATCACAAGAGTTTCACAAGTTCACAAAAGTTACACACACAAGAGTTAGAGTAGCACTAAACCAGGTGGGAGGGGATGAGGAGGACGAGAGGGAAGGTCCCAAGGAGTCCCCAACCAAAGGAAACCCCATGCCACACAATTCCCCTCTCCATAGGCAACCCCACTTTCACATTTGTCACTTTCCCAACTCATGCCATCCACCTCAACCCACTTGGCCACACTTGCCAACCTGGTTTGGCTTCTCCTAACAACATGGCAGCAATCTACATTGATGGGACCGAATTTCCCAACCCCAAAAGTCTGTACCCCATATTGAATTACTCCCACAACTCCCCAAAGTCGCCGCAACCAAAGTACAGAAAGCATACGAACTCCAATGTCCGTAACTTTCTTGTTCTTGCTCCGATCGCGACGATTCTTGGTTCGTCGGAAAGCTCTCGAGCAGAGGAATCACTTCAGATATCTGCCCTAGCCAAACATCATTCACACACACTCAGAAAATCCAAACCGCGCAAAAACACAAATTCTTGCACATGCCCACATCACGCATGCAACACACGAACACATGATGGGAGGCAGACAGACGTGAATGCATATGGTTGCATCACACAACATCAGGAGAGTAGATGGACAAGTGGACAGAGGGAGTGAGCAAGGGGGAAATGGGGTGAGTGAAGTGTGAAAGAGATTGAGCAGGGAAAAAATTGGGATAGTAGAGGGGGGAAAGCTGTCACATTTGCATGAATATGAAGGGTAAGGCAGTAGAGTGAAAGAGCTGTATATACTGTACATAGTGAAGCAGGGTCAACCGAGGATGGAAGCCGAGGAGTCATTTGGAATTTCGCGAGTAGAAAGGGGAGTTGGGGAGGTGACGTTTGCCGAGCCTGAGGGTCGGAGGGTTGCATGGGTGAGAAGGGAGCTGGAGCTACGTAAGCAAGGTGGGGCGGGCTGTAGAAACAGAGGCAGACAAGGCAGCGGCAGCAGGAAGCAGTAGAGCGGGATGGGAAGGATGGGTGTACGTGCGCATGCTTGTTTGCTTTCTCTATGTGTGCAGGATAGGTTCGGGGAGCCAGCTGGATCAGGAAGTAACAGTTGGAGGTCGAGAAGACAGGGCAAGGGAGGGTGGCAGAAGGCATCACGGCTGCAAGCCTGTGTGAAGCAGCTCATAGCTGCTAGCGTAGGCAGGGATGACGGGACCGTAGTGCGGTGGTGGCTATGCTGGTAGAATAGGTGGATTCCTGAATCTACTATCTATTGCTTGTATGTTTCCCTTGTACACGAAAGTTTTGTTGCAGATCGAGCAAACGGTGAATAGAGGGAGATATGACGAGCTAAGATCAGTAGTATGTGGAGGGTAGGGTGAAGTGTGTGACGGAGCAGAGAGCTCATCACTGGACATTGCAGGAGAACTGCTAGTGTGCAGGAGGGGCAGGCAGTACGTGTTGCTCATGATTGAGCATGTGAGCAAATGGGCAGAGGCGAGACCATTGGTGGCAAAGACGGCGGAAGCCGTGGCAGAGGCGTTCGAGGAGATGGTGCTGACGAGGTTCGGGGCGTGTGGGGAAGTGCTGACAAACCAAGGCACGGAGTTCCAGGGGGAATTCAAGGAACTGCTAGCAGAGAATGGCATCCAGCACCACACCACCTTCAGGTACCACCTGCAGAGCGATGGGCTCACAGAGAGGCTTGTGCAGACAGTGAAGAAGGGAATCCGCGCTTACAGAGAGGCGAATAAAGGAGAATGGGACAAGAGGCTAGCATGGGTGATGGCGGGGTACAGGTTCAGCAAGCAGGCCTCATTGAAGGATGTCTCACCGTACTACCTGCTCTTCGGGAAGCACCCCATACTGCTGATGGATGCACCGAGGTTGATGCTAGACAATGTCACATCAAGGACAGCCGAGAATTGGGTCGCGCTGGCCGACGCAAGAGCAAGGTACTTGAAGAAGATGCTGCCGGCAGCGATGGAGAGCCTGAAAGTGGCGCAGCTGTGAGACATCCATCGTTATAAGCAGCAGCAGCTGAGCAAGATGGTGGGAAAGCAGGCAGCAGTCGAGGAAGGGCAAGCGGTGTACGTACGACGAGCAAAGCGAGATGGGCTGGACGTGGGAGTATCTCAGCAGAGGTGGGAAGTGAAGGAGGTCCGCGATTCGGGAGTACTGGTGTTGGAGGATGAGAAAGGGAAGCGAGTCATGGACCACGTTACCAATGTGGCGCTCGCAGGAAGGCAGCAGAAGACGGGAGGCTACACCGGTCCAATAACCAGGGCGAGGTCGGCAGCAGCAGGTCATGGGAGGGGGTGTTAGAGTCTGCAGTCCACTAAGGGGTCGCGGATGCCCATGAAACCGCCTAAGTAGAAACTGACGACTTCAAACCGCCTCTGTTCAAAACGCCGTCACGATCAGCTCCGTAAGATACGAGGCTGAAAATTGGACAGCAGTTAGCCTTAGGTGTCTAATTTCCAACCGTATATTACTTGCTACTATCAGAGGTGTACGCACTACGCAGTGAACGGAAACATAAGCTCGGCTGAAAATCGTGTATTCTCATTGATGCAAGGAAGAGGTGAGTACAACATTGCCTAGGGGACTCTTAAGGGGTTGGGATCATCCTAGGAACTCAGAGAAGGTTGATTCCTAGGGGAGAAAGGCTAGAGAAGGATGGGAAACGTCCTAGCTAGGTCAGCAAAGCCAACCACACATGGATGTTCAGAGCTGTACTCAAGGCTACCAATAGTGAGTCAAGCCAACCATGAGTCAGCTTGTCTTCCCACTTGCACCCTCTTGCAAGCTGCTTCCAGGAAGACCACACTTCTCAAAAGGAGGGTGGTAGAGTCCCACTTGACCACCTGTACTTCTTGTCTCATTCTCTGTCCCTGCACCATTGGCATGACAACAATGAAAGGGTGGCAAGGGAAATTGGTGATTGGTGAGGGTCCACGTTTCATTTTCCATGAGGCTCTTAAACTTATCCTACCTTGAAGCCAACCAAGCGTCTCGATCATCTCCAGCAAATGGTTCCTCCATTGAAGCCGGTTCATGAGGTAAGTTGACACCGAAGCAACAAATCTGCTCCATCTCTCCCTCGGCTCCCTTCTCCTCATCATCTTCCTCCTCCTGGACCAGCAATGCCTTTGGACCCCCAAGCCTTTCATACTTGAGGAAATCCCTTGGGTGAGCAGCTCTCTTGGGCCTCTCCTTGGCTGCACCCTCCTTAGCTCCACCGCGGACAGCACCACGCTTCCCTTGGGTTGTCCGCCTAGATGGAAGTGAAGGGGATGGTGTAGGCTGCTGCACCTCCTCCCCGGCATCACCTCTCTCAGCTACAGGGGCCTCCTCTTGCTGCAACACTCCTTCCACCTCTGTTGACTCCCCTTCAGCACCTCCCAAGTCATGTGACACCTCCGTTACCTCTGAAGATGAAGACAACTCGATGGGAATGAGAAGTGGGTCGTTCGTTCCCACCTCTATTCCGAGCGGAATGGTGACCTTGCTCCTCCCTCGCTCCAACCACTCCTTGAACATGAGCCCCTCCATGAACTTGGCATCTCTGGTGGTGAAGATGGTGTTGGCTTTTGGGTCCCACATGAGCCACCCCTTGCTCCCTTGTGCAAGTCCCAAATGAACAGCCCACACCGCCGCCGCTTGAAGCTCGAGTCCCATGCACCCGAAGACTTGAAGCATATCCACCAGAGGCTTCTTGCCTCTCCATTTCTCCATAGGGACCCAATGCTGCCCTCCCACATGAGTCAAGACTCGGTTCTTGATGACGGTGGCATGGCGAATAGTGAGGGGTTAGAATCGTAAGGGTAGACTCGAGTCTACCAACATTGTTCTCCCACCCTCCATGACGGTCCGGTTCGCTGTCTCTGCCATGCCATTGGATTGAGGAGTGTAGGCCGTGGTGAGCTGCTGCTTGATGCCGTGCCGCTTCAGCCAGCTCCGGAACTCCGCTCCCAAGAACTCCCCACCACGGTCGCTACGAATCGCCTTCACCCGCTTGCCGCTCTCTCGCTCCACCATGGGCAGCCACTCTTCAATGATGACCCTTGCAGCATCACTCTTCTTTGCAAGTGGAAAGGACCAGGTGAGCCTCGTGTTCTCATCCACCATGGTCATGGAATACAGGGCCCCACCATCTCCCTTCACCTTCATGGGTCCCACGAGATCCACATGCACGAGCTCCACCGGGTCACTCGACTTCCCCTCCACCGAATGGAAGGGAAACCGTGAAAACTTGCTGGTCAAGCAAGTCTCACAAGATCCCACCTCCTTGGGCTCCCCCTTTATCCTCAGCCCCTTGACTCTTTCCTCCTTGAACAGCTGCTGCAACTGAGGTAGCGCCACGTGGCCAAAGCGACGGTGTGCGGTGAGCCAATCCGTCTCACCCGTGCTAGGAGTTACACTTGGTAGCGCAGCCCCTCCATGCCCAAGGAGCCCACCATCACTGTCATCACCACCTCCTCCATTGTCCACGTGGTTAACATGCCCTCCTCTCACATCTCCAGCAGCCAAGCGCGCAGCCGCCTCCTTCCATGGCAGCACCGGTATCTCCCACATGGACCGGTGCATGTCCTTGCCGCCTCGGAGGTCCCACAACACGCGCCCATCCAGAGTTGCCTTGAAAACCTTTGTGCCCAACATCTCCATCTTCATCCCTGCCTCACTCAAGGCCTTGGTAGAGAGTAGGTTGGCACACAATCCAGGAACAAGGAGAACACGCTTCAGCCCCACAAGTCTCTCATCTGCACCCACGAACATGGCTCTCCCCTCACGACGCACGGGTACAACTTGGCCAGTGGCTGAAACAGCGGTGGCTGCCTTTGATGGCCTGACTTCATCCAGTAGATCCTCTCGGTTGGTCATGGTCATGAAGGCTCCCGTGTCGATGACCCAATGGGAGGAGCGGTGAAGAGCAACCTTGCTGGCCGGCACAACCATATCCTCGTAGCATGCCTCTCCTACATGGTAGAACATGCCGTCGTATCTGCCAGCACCTCCATCGCCCTCCTCACTGCCCATGCCTTCTCCCATAGCTCCATGAACACCCTTGGAGCCCTCAAGTGATGGCTGACCAGGCCTCCAACCGTCAGGTAACTTGCGGCACTTGAACCAAGGGTGACCTTCCACATGGCAATACCAACACTTACCACCACACTGCTTGCCTCCCTTGTTGCCACACTTCCCTCCCGAATGCTGCTCCCCTCCAGAGCCTTCCTTGGCCTTGCCTTTCTTGCTGCCACGCCCCTTGAAGCCCTTCATGCCGTAGGCTGAACCTCCACCTTCACCGGCAGCGGCGGTCAGCTCCTTCCTCCGAAACTCCTCTTGAAGAACTTGCGTGCGAATCCACTCAAGGGACCACGAGTCCTTCATGCCATTAAGGTTGACCACCAAGGGCCCCCACGACTCCGGCAGCAGGGAGAGAGCCTTGTAGCACTTGATTTTCTCAGGGTAGTCCACACCAGCAGCAGAGAGCTTCACATAGAGGTCCCGGTATTGATCGAGTGCTCCTTGCACGGCATCACCCTCGTTGATCTTCACCGCATGGAGTTGTCGCTCGAGCACCACCACCATCGCTTCGCTGCTGGGGGCATGGACATCCTTCAATATCTTCCATGCCTTAGGACCACACTCAACTTCCTTGATGAGATGCTTGATGTGGTGCAGCTGGTTGGATGAGAGGCATTGGGAGAGAAGGAAGAATCCATCCTTGGACCGGCGATCCCATTCCTTGGTCGCTCCTTCGCTCGCAGGCCTCTTCAATTCTCCATCCATCACTTCAAGCAGCCCATAATGGTTGAAGAGAAGCTCTATCCTGAAGCTCCATGATGTCCAATCATCCCCAGAGAACTTCTCCAGGTTGAATGCCTTCACATCATCCTTAGCTGATGTTGAAACGGAAGCCATTGGCACAGATCTGCCTGCAACGCCTCTTCCCGCTTCCCCAGCGCCTCTCACGCCACCACTGCCACTAGGACCAGCTGGAGCAGAACCTTCAGCCTCCATATTCACCCACGAACAGGGTATAACAGCTCTGATACCACTTGTTATAGTCTGTAGTTCACTAAGGGGTCGCGGATGCCCATTAAACCGCCTAAGTAGAAGCTGAGGACTTCGAACCGCCTCTGTTCAAAACACCGTCACGACCAGCTCCGTAAGATACGAGGCTGAAATTTGGGCAGCAGTTAGCCTTAGGTGTTCGCTTTCCAACTGTATATTACTTGCTACTATTGGAGATGTACGCACTACGCAGTGAACGGAAACGTAAGCTCGGCTGAAAATCGTGTATTCTCATTGATGCAAGGAAGAGGTGAGTACAACATTGCCTAGGGGACTCTTAAGGGGTAGAGATCATCCTAGAAACTCAGAGAAGGTTGATTCTTAGAGGAGAAAGGCTAGAGAAGGATGGGAAACGTCCTAGCTAGGTCAGCAAAGCCAACCACACATGGATGTTCAGAGCTGTACTCAAGGCTACCAATAGTGAGTCAAGCCAACCATGAGTCAGCTTGTCTTCCCACTTGCACCCTCTTGCAAGCTGCTTCCAGGAAGACCACACTTCTCAAAAGGAGGGTGGTAGAGTCCCACTTGACCACCTGTACTTCTTGTCTCATTCTCTGTCCCTGCACCATTAGAATGACAACAATGAAAGGGTGGCAAGGGAAATGCCACAATGACTACAGAACAGTGACTTTCGATAGCTGTCACGCAATGCTCCAATGTTGGATCGTTCTGAAACTTGGTGACCACCTGCAAAGCGGAGCAAACGACTGCCATACCGAATTTCAGACCAATCAGAGCTCGGTAGACGAGTCAGCAGCCGAAATGGTGAACTCGGGTGTTACCAAAAAAGAGTAACACACACTTCCGGGATGCCATAAGTCTTGAAACTTAAAATGTTGTCATGCCTTGTTAACTGCTTCAAAAATTCTGAAACTTTGAGGGTTTGAAGAACACATGTTGAAGAATCTCCCCTCAAAATTCCAGAAGCTGAGCAGGCTTGTAGGCTGAATGGGAGTGCGATGACCGTGCCACTATAGTGTGTTGGCACATCAGGGGGCAGGAAAGTAGCCATCAGAGCACACCAGGAGAACCAGAGGCAAGGGTGGTAACGAGTGGGGACACAGAGAAGAAGGTGAACATGGACAAGGGAAGGTGAAAGGTGTCAGGAAGGGGGAGAAGGAGGAGTGGGCCGAGTACCCAGAGGTGGTGAGAAGGAGCAGAATGAGAGTGATGAAAGGAGAGGGAGGGAAGGTATCCGACAAAGGGAGTGAGTTGGGGGAAATGAGGTGAGTGATCAGGGGAAAGAGAGGGCAGAGGGAGGAAATGGGGTGAGTGTAGGGAAAAGACAGTTCGCAGGGAGGTAATGTGATGTTGGTAGGGTAAAGGGCCTTGTACCGGAGGAAATGGGGTGGGTGAAGGGTGAAGGAGATTGCCCAGGGAGGAAATGGGATTATTGAGGAGAGTGAAGGGGAAAAGAGAGTTCAGAGGGGGGAAATGGGGTGATTGAGGGTGAAAAAGAGTGCAGAGGGGGGAAATGAGGTGAGTGAAGGGGATAGAGAGTGCACAGGGAGGAAGCGCGATGAGCGACATTGGAAAGAGAGTGAGCAGGGCTGTAATGGGACGATTGGAGTGGGCGGCTAAACGTGGGCAGCAGGGAAGTGGGGAGACTAAAGGGGAAAAGGGGGTGCAGAGACGTGAAATGGTGTGAGTGAAGGCCACTGAGCGTGTGGAGGGATGTGATGGGCGGATTGAAGGGAGAAAGAGAGTTTGCAAGGAGGAAATGGGAGGTTTGAAGGGGGAAAAGGAGTGTGCAGGGGAGAAATGGCATAACTGAGGAGTGAAAGAGATTGAGCAGGGCAGAAAAGGGATAATTGAGGGGGGAAAGGGAGTGTGCAGGGGGGAAATGAGGTGAGTGAGGGGGGAAAGAGAGTGCAGAGGGAGGAAATGGGGGGAGTGAAGGGGAAAGATAGTCCTGAGGGAAGAAATGGGGTACATGAAGGGAAAAGACAGGTCGAAGGGAGGATATGGGATGTTTGAAGGGGAAAGGGAGTGAGCCAGGGGGAAATGGGGTGACTGAAGGGTGGAAGAGTTTGAGCACGGAGGAAATGGGATAACTGAGGGGGGAAAGGGAGTGTGCAGGGGGGAAATGAGGTGAGTGAGGGGGGAAAGATAGGGCAGAGGGAGGAAATGCGTTAAGTGACGGGGAAAGAGAGTTCGCAGGGAGGAGATGGGATGTTTGAAGGGGAAAGGGAGTGAGCCGGGGGGAAATGGGGCGAGTGAGCGAGGGAAAGAGAGTGAGCAGAGCAGAAATGGGATATTTGAAGGGGGAAAGGGAGTGAGCTGGGGGGAAACGAGGTGAGTGAACGGAGGAAAGAGAGCGCAGAGGGAGGAAATGGGGCGAGTGTGGGGGAAAGAGAGTTCGTAGAGAGGAAATGGCATGTTTGAATGGGAAAGGGAGTGTGCTAGGGGGGAATTGGGTGAGTGAAGGGTGAAAGAGATTGAGCACGGAGGAAATTGGATGATTGGAGCGGGAATGCAAAGGTGTGATTCAAGGGGGAAAGAGAGTGCACAGACGGGAAAAACGGTGAGTGAAGGCCACTGACCGTGAGGATAGAGGAGATCGGCAGATTGAAGGGGGAAGTGGAGTGCGCGGGGGGGAAATGGGGAGAGTGGAAGCGAAGGGGAAAAAGAGATTGAGCAGGGAGGAAACGGGATGTTTGAAGGGGGATAGGGAGTGAGTGGGGAGGAGACGGGATGTTTAAAGGTGGAAAGGGAGTGATCAGGGGGGCAACATAGCGTGAGGATGGAGGAGATGGGCTGATCGAAAGGGGAACATGAGCGCGCTTGTTGGGGAAGGGAATGTGCGCGCGCTGGTGAAGGGAATGTGCGCGCAGTGGTGAAGGGGTTGTGCACGCGCGTGGGGAGGGCATGTGCGAGTCTTTGGGTGTGATTGTCTCCGCGTTTGGGAATTGAATGTTTGGGCCCCGCATGACACAATGTCTGTTCGCTGCGGGAAGAATCTCTGGGCGCTGCGGAGAGGAATGTATGGGCGCTGCGGAAACGACACTCTGCGGGGTGCGGAAAGGAATGTCTGCCTGGTGCGTAAACGAATGTCTGGGCGCTGGGGAAGGAGGTAAGATGGGGACGCACACCTGGAATGGGATGGCGACGCGGCGGAAAATGGAGGGCGGTGTGAAGGGACTTTCAGAGAGCGGGGGGAAGACTATAGCGGCTTATATTGGCAGCAGAAAATGTGGGCGCCATTCCCCGTCGTTTAGTTCTAGCGTTTTCGACGCAGCGCGTGAAAGAACGCATATTCGCCGACTTATGCTGGCTCTGAATGTCGTCAGTTCCTTGCCCTCACGTGAAATGTGCGTGCTTTCCATAAGGTAGACCCCTCTATGGCGTGAAAATCATGTAACGTATATTGCGCCTGAAGGCACACTATAGGCTAATGCTCTGAAAACTAACCCTAATACCATGATACCCTTCCCGGTGGGGAGCCATAAACGTGCACTCAAATTTTTGCTGAAGTGAACTTAGAACATGGTAGAATTAGGAGGGCGCGACTAAGCTTCTAATGACAACTTGAGTGAGGTGCAAAAGTCCCAAGTTGTTCAACGCTGAAGAAAGACTTCCTCTGTTTGGTT